ATCTTATATCGTAGTATTTGAAAACTCAGAATAACAGTCGATTCAAACGTTATTACTTTGAGCAACCAAAATGGTAATAAAGTTTTCAACATCTTTGTGCAAGATAAAGCACTTACACAATAACTGTTAGGTATTTTTTTGCGTTTTGCTATTTGGTGTTATTAAAAAATATACTTAAAAAAGAAACTAATAATTGCTAAATTTCGAAATATGTTTTCTTTTAAAGAATTAAAAAAATATAAGCCAAAAGAGTTTTTATTTTTTTATTTTTTAAATTATTTTATTTTTTTACCTTTTAAAAAATAGATTCTTGAAAACCGACAACGATAAAGAATAATTACGATAGAAAAAGAATATTCCAGCCAATCCTATTTCTTTTATCAGGAGCAACTTTGACCTCGTTGAAGTGTTTGTGCTCGACTTCGTATAAATATGCTGTGCGAACATTTTATTTAGAATTCACCGTTTCCAAACTCAATGAAATGAGATATCAAAAAAGCTTTTCTACAATACGAACAAAAAACAACAAATCCACCCACATGCAGTTTACACTAGTCGAATATTTACTTCAAAATTAATTTCAATTCCATCTGAAATGGGTACTTTTTATTTTAAAATAATGCTCAATTGTCAACGTAATCGTCATTCCATACGCGTAAGCAAAAAAACCAAACTCTTTTTAGCAGTACGAAAGAAGATTTTATTATAAATAACAACAGCAATATTATTAATGAAGATGATGGCAAAAATCACAGTACATGTATTAATTTATTTGTAGGGGAGAATGTTAAATTTCGAACGGAGCCGCGTAAGGAAGTGTTACGCGATGGTAAACATTCGATTCTCGTAGAAAAAAACTTTGAAATAAAATATGAGCTTGTGCGAAGCAATGACGCAATAAGGACAAAAAAATTTATTGAAAAGAGTCTCCTTCTTTTGTCATTTATTTCACTAGTCTCTTCATTCAATCCTGTCACTTTAACACCAATTGGATCAGAAAATGTCACGGCACGTTCGTTTATTTGACATATACAGAGTTGAAGAGTATTTGGTAGATACGAGAATCGATATTTAACATCTTCGTACATGACTTGATGAATAATGTACTTCCATTTTCATTTAGTGCTGTCTTATGCTTATTATGATTGTTATTATGGTCGTTACCATTGGTAACGGAAATAGTCACCGTTATTGGTAATAAATTCTTATTTGTTGATTCTGACAGTGGCGGTGATGAGGACAAGGATTGGATTTGTAATCGA